TGGAGGTCGCGGCTTCGATGGGCATTGAGAGAGGAAGTCGGACTCGGCAGTTGGCGATTTCAATTTGGGCATATAGATATAGGTTTTCAATTTATCAAATAATTTGGGATCATTAACTCAGTGGTTATCGAATGAAAGTGTGAAATTGGAAAGAGAAGGATAAAAACTTAAAAGGGTCTAGATATTGGGCTAAAAATAAAATAAATAATATGACCAAAAAATTGAATTTAGAAATTGGGTTGGGTTGGGCTAATTAGGCATGGATTTGGCTTGGAAGTTAGGACATTAATCACTAAATTAGTTAATTTGCTAATTTGTTTAGAAGAATTTTAAAAAATTAATTCAATATAAAAAATTAAAAAATTTATTTAAATTCGGTTCTTATTCGACTCTTTGGTTTTGGGTCTAGAATCGAGAACCGAACCGAACCGAACATGTCGGTTCTTGATTTAGATACCCGTTCGGGTATTTAACTTAAGAAGAACAAGTCGGTTCAGTTCGGAAGTTTTGTACATCCCTGATAAAAGTAATTTGTGACCTATAATTTGATATTTTGTGACTATAAAATAAGTTGTGTAACTTATAAATTTTGTGACTTGTGATCGATGAACAAATTGTAATTTTTAAAATTTTAATTTGTAACCGATGAACGAACTGTGATCTATAAATTTTTTGAATTGTACCAAATTATATGGATCTGTGACGTTTATATATTTATTAATAAATTATATAATTAATTAATTAAATTATAAATAAATTTTAATGAAAACCCTAATTTTTGAAATTCAAAATCTCTATTCTTAATTTTGAAATGATGATATTTAAATATCTTATTTATATATTCTTCCCATTACATTTTACTCTTAATTTTGTATATGGGTCAGGCCTGTCCCCCTCCAAATTGGGCCTGCATCTATGTATAGGTGATTCCACTGAAAAAAAATAAGAATAATGCCATACTGCCACCTCCTTTGACAGATCTCAATTGGCAAGTTTGGATTAGTGAAAAAATTGTTAAAAACTGTTTTCTTCTTTAA